CCCCAAAACCCCAAAACCCCAAAACCCCAAAACCCCAAAACCCCAAAACCCCTCTCCTTTGGATTATGAATAAACTCAATAGTCATAATAATATAAATTATCAAAATGGGTGTCAACTTATGCTGATATAAAGACAACAGCATGGACCATCGTGATAAGAAGAATTGTGAGTACAACATAGAGAGGCTCAGGGAAGACAGGTGACGCGTCAAGATCAATAATAAACCAGGCAAGAAAGGAAAGAAGAAGAGCGAAAGGCTTGGAGTCACTAATGACTGTACCTACGCCGATGAACAGTATACTGACGGGATTTCAGCAGATAGGAATAAAGCTAGTTCTAGAGCCAAAGGGCCCAAATCCTATCCTTCTGTGATTTCTTCCCAACAGACTTTTCTTGCAGATAATGGGTTTGATGAAAGCGATAAAGTGACTGATGACTACGAGATAATAGAGGATTCCAAAACTGATGCCAGGTTGAAACAAGTCACCGTTTATGCTAGTCATTACATCATTGCTATCAAGGCGGTCTACGTAGAAAGAGATCTTGCAGAAACTACTGTGGTACATTCTAGTAATGCTAAATATCTGAACTCGCGTCCAGACTTGGAGAAAAGGACTCTTGATTTAGAGAATGATGAATTTATTAATTATATTTCTTACACAATTTCTTCCCAGACTGGTCTGATCCGAACCCTTACAATCGAGACAACCAATGGGAAACAGCTGCTGGTAGAGGGACAAATCGAGCTGAACAACATGAATAATGAAAGCGGCCAGGATAGTGACTATAGCTCTATTTTTGGCTTGGAGAAGGAAGAGAAGAAGACTCTTCTAAAATCTTATGACTGTGAGCAACCTCTGCTAGACCTTGCTCAAAAATCTAACAATGAGAGCATAAAATTAAACTCTGAGAAACTTCCTATAAATCCTCATACTCCCCAGTTTAATAGCAAGGAGCCTCATCAAGGGAGTGTTCTCAAGATGGATGAGAAGGTCAAGCACCTTAATTTTGTGAAACTTAATCAAAGAGTTATTGGCTTTAGGACCAGATTCGCAGGGTTCCTGAAAGAAATAGATCTCTATACTGAGCCCTGCACTTACCAAAGAATTTAGATAATTAAGTTATAAAATTTGTTCTAGAGGTTTTCAATGTTCTTTCAATTTTGAACTTGTTATAGGGGTTTTGGGGTTTTGGGGTTTTGGGGTTTTGGGGTTTTGGGGTTTTGGGGTTTTGGGG